ATAATAATAATAATAGTATATTCTCATTTTGTACATGAGAGACGCCAGTTTACAGGCATCATCAATATGATAAATTACATATACGATTAGCAATCATAATTAATAATAATGTTTTAATAAAGTACACATTTTTTCTTACTTGTGTAGGACACACCAAATATACAGGCATGGATAAGCATTAATTAAATTTCATAAATTCGGTTTATGGTTAAGTTACATGGTTGCTGGCGTTTTTGTTTTAATAATAATTATAATAATGTATATTCTCATATAAACATATAAATTTACATGAAAATGCATGCCATTTTTTTAGGTCTGTGGGAACAATATGATAACCAGTCATTCAATGGAGCACATCATGAAATATAGGAATATTAACTTCGCATTAACAAAAAAACCCAAGTAAGTTTTGGATGGATTAAAAATACTTGGGAAAAAATAAAGCTTGAAGTAATTCCTCAATATAACCTGGGTGTGTACAAATCCGAATCTCATTTTTGATTTGATTTATATCCAAATTGGGTAATAAGGAAGCTATTTTTACAGATACGATCAGTTATGTTATAAGCTACAATCGTGACGTTGTATTACAAATTGATACTTTTCCATTGGTATAAGAGTATATTCCACAAATGTAATCCAGGTTGCGTCGTGGAGAAAGTTAATTCGTTATTAACCAGGCAACTGAAAGATACGGGACCAATAATGTTTGCAGATCATTTGTCATTGTAAATGGTCAAATATCCACATTATTCATTCTCATTCAAAAAGTCAAATGGAAGCTGAAATGGTGAGAGAAAAAAGAAGACAAACAACAGCAACGCAAAAGAAAGCAACGGGAGTCCTTAAGGAGTGATTAATAAATATATACATATATATTCTGTTTAGTAACTGTGGTTATTTTGGTACACAAACTAACTAGTCCCGTTATGCTAACTTTTATATTATGTGTAAACTAATATTACTGTCCTGTGTAGAAATGTTAATCATCTAGTTCCAATAATATTAAAATTTATAATTGTAGTTTGTTGTAACTACACGTTTAAAGAACTTAAAATATCTATGTAGGGTGAAAAAGAGGGTGTAAGAGTCAGGCGCAAAAGTGCATTGTCATCTTTGAGCAGTCTGGTGACTGAGGAGATGAACACTGGAAGTGTGTTTGCATCGCGCACATTAGCTGGTAGTCTATTCCAAATGACTGAAAACTTATTTAAGAAGAAGTTGTACCGCACGTAAGTCTGACAGTGCTCCATAGCAGCTAGGTTGTGATGATTTCTAAGATTGTAACTGATGACAGCGGTAGGTTTAGTTATTGGCTCGGAGGAATGCAAGAGAAGATTAGTTAGCTTATAGTAAAAGATAAGGTTTAGCTTAAGGCGTCTTTTCCAGAGGGGTTCTAATCTTAGTCTTACGCATCGCTCATGGTATTCCAGACCACTTTCTAAACCAAGAGTTCTTGAGGTAAACTGCCGTTGCACTCCCTCTAATTTAAGCTTGTCATTTTGTCTTAGTCCGCTAAGAATAAACGGGCAGTATTCTAAGATAGGTCGGACACATACTTTGTATAATAAAACCCTAGTTTCACAACAAAAGAAATTGCGTGTTATGCATCCTATCAGCCTTCGCGTTTTACGTCTGGCATAATCAGTCTGTTCAGCGAACGTTAGGTTACTAGAGTATCTAATACCGAGATCTACGACTGAATTGAGCTTAGCTAGTTTTCGCCCATTTATTTCAAGAGTTAGATCAAGCTTACTGTTGCCGATACAAATCCAGCCGCATTTGTCAATGTTAAAATTTAGACAGGATTCAGCACACCACGTTGCAAGGCTACTTAGTTCAAGATGTATTTTAGTAACCATATCGCTTAATTCATGAGTGTAGCAGGAGTAGACGACTTTGAGGTCGTCAGCATATAGGAATGGTTTACCTGAGGTGAAGCACTTGCAAATGCTGTTAATGTAAACTGTGAATAAAAGTGGACCTAGGACACTACCTTGCACGACCCCACTTGAGATCTGCCTAGGATGAGACAATACAGATCCAACTTTGGTTATTTGTACCCTGTTGCTTAGAAATGATTTTAACCAGTTCAGTAATGGGTTGCGAATTCCACAAGAGTACAGCTTCTCAAAGAGAATACTGTGAGATACCATGTCAAATGCCCTAGATATATCGAAGTAGAGAACAACGACTAGCTTACGTGCTTCGCGACTACTAGTGATGCAGTTGAAAAAGTCGAAGTGGCAAGTAACGCAGGATCTATTTTTGAGAAATCCGTGTTGAGACCTTGTAACAAGATCTTCCCTAATTAGGTAGTCTGACAATTGATCTTTACAACTTTCTCCATGATTCGTGAGATAACTGGGGTTATATTTATGGGTCTGTAATTGCGGACGTTTGCCCTATCACCAGATTTGTAATGTGGAATTATGAAGCTAGTTTTCCACTCACTAGGGTAAGTGCCAGTGTCCATAGATATTGAGAAGAATTTAAGAAGTAACAGGGTATATCACACCCACTGTTTTTGAAAATTATCGAAGCGAGGCCATCCGGTCCCGTACTAGTGGAAGGTTTAAGGCTTTTAATTGCTTGTACTATTAACTGATTAGTGAACACAATGCTTTCAAGGGAAGAGATAGTAAGGGGAGCGGTTTCACCAGGCATATGTGTTTCTAAACTAAAGTTTGCAAACCAATCACTGAAAGTTCACAGATAGTGGCAGGTTCATTGTAGATTACTTTGTCGTGAAGTAAGTATGGGATTTCCCTCGCCGACTGCATTCGTTTTTTAAGAAGTGCCGTTAAGTTATAAACTTTGGAGGTACTTTCAAGTGCCGTTAACTCTTCGTCGAGGTCCTTTTGAGAGCGTAGGCGCTTGATAGATTCAAGAGACTCGTGGATTGAGAGCAATAGTGATATGTCCTTAGTGGAATAGTACTGTTTCTTCAGTTTCCTTAACTTATTACGGTGTGCCCTTGGAATATATTCAGTTCGGTGTCTACTTAATTTCACTATTTTTTTTGGGGCAACTGTATCTAGACAAAGGGTAACATTCCTGTAAAACAGGGTTACTAAGGCCTCCAGGGAGTCAGTGGTAAAATAGTCATCCCATTGACAGAGTCGAATAAGTTCTTGGACTAATCCCCAGTCTGTATATTTGTAACTACGACATATTGTGCTTCCTGAGTCTTGTTTGTTTCCTGTATTTAGTGGTGAGAAAGGCAGAGAGCAGAGTACCATTCTATGGTCACTACTGGAAAATCTATTACCAACATAGTGGATACTGGGATTGTGTCATGACAAAAAACAAGGTCCAAATGTTGTCACCACGAGTAGGTGTCTGGACGTGTTGTTGCCATCCATAACAGTCTATAGTGGCAAGTAATTCGTCGAAGCGTTGGGGGCCGGAACTAGTTAGCCAATTGACTTCTGGAAGATTGAAGTCCCCTGCAATTATTTTGTAATTAGCACTAAACGAGGATGCGTGTGCAAACGATTTAGCTAATAACGCATCAGTTTCTTTTGTTGAGCTTGGTGCTCGATAAACACAGCCTATGAGAAGTTTGTACTTATCTCCATGTAAGACAACCCAGAGTGAGTCAGGTACATTATTCATTGTTTCATCTTCCACCTTACTGACTACAAATGAGTTATGTATATATATGAGACATCCTCCACCACGCTTGCAATCTCTGTTTGCACGGTGTACAGTGTAATCATCGATACCTATATGCACATCAAGTACAGAGGATGAGCACCATGACTCAGTAATCAGAGCTACAGTAGGCTTGGCGACTAATAATAATGTCCTTAGTTCAGATATCTTATTGATTAAGGAACGTGCATTAATTAGCAATATCGTGAATAAGTCACGGGATACTACAAACTGGCTTAAAATGTCACCATAACCTAAATCTATTTGTGCGTCAGCACCGCAAGAATTTATGAATGAAAAGGAGGTCGGACTGGGTGTCTGCACATCGGAGTTGGTGTGCAATGAGGTGGTCCTAGGTGCCATGGGTCGTACCAGTGATTCAGGACACCTGGAAAATTTACCATGTGTTCCTGGATATAAGGGTAGTACAGGTTGGGCCTAGGTTGACGGTTAAAAGGCATAGCATCAGAAGGTCTACCCATCCAACTGCTATTCGTCATACCGGTATACACCTTCGGGTTGTTTTTATAACTTAAAGGGAATTGTGAAGGAAGGTGCTTTGGCTGCAAGACTTTAGGAGTCTTGGAGCCTGACTTTCTATAAGGTGGAGCATGCGGAACACCTCCAGATGTACTTATGTTTCGAGAGGAGTTTTTCGTAACAAGTGATGGTTTGTTGGCATTCTTACTCTCAGCAGGCTTATTGAATACAAAGTATTCTTCCCCATCATTAGTCTCAACCCTGCGAAATTTGTTCATCGTGGTGAGGTTACTACGTTTGGGGGGAAATTTCTTAGAACAACTTGCAGAAGTTCTAGTCATTTTAACATCTTTCGATGAGGCTTTGTTTACAGGGGTACTGGTATCTAAATCAGTTCCTAGTTCCATTGGCAGGTGTGGTTGTTGTGTAGTTTGCTGAATGCTAGTTTCAGCACTAGGTGTCTGTTGCTGTGCACGATCCTTATTTGGTAAATCAAAGCTAGAGCTAGAGGAGGTGACCAGGTTATTACTACGCATTATTCTGCGCTGACACGGTGTTTTATCCTGAGCTACGGTTATAGACTTATAACTGCTATTCAGTCTTAAGTGATCCTGACATTTAGTAAACTTACTAGCATCAAGGGAATTACTGAATTTAAAAATGATTGGGCAATTAGCCTGGTTAGACTTTTTACGAAGTCGTTTGCATTCACATGGAACACTAGCCATGCCGCAACAAATCAGGATTTTGTGTCTTACAGTTTTCAGGGGCAGAGAGTCTGGGACGTTGTAAACTATAGCTTGGTGAGAAGAGGTTATACGCTTCATCACCTCCGTAGCCAAGCAGTCAATCAGATTTTCAGCTTTATTTAGGTTGTCTGGAGATATTTTAGGATGCCTTTCTAAAAGACAGGCTATTGGGTCTAAATTCAAAAGCTTATTTTGAGTTACATCCAGTAAAGACTTAACCTGGCCAATATCAGAACGGCTCTCCGTGGTATTTGAGATTGGCAGTGACATACTATCAAACTGATCTAATTTTTTCTGAATTTCACTTACTTGCCTCTGCATATCTTTCAAAAGGAGGTTTAGTTTACAGAACTCAGAGTTCTCTAACAGAACATCTTTCACCTGTATCACAGGAGTGAGATCTGCACTCAAACCATTTTGAGAGCTAGTAGTTGATACTGTATTACGAGGCGGTAATGCAGTTATAACCGAATTTAAGCCACTATCTAAAACAATTGTGTTTCTACGAACACGTTTTTTAGAGATTTGGACCATAATTTCAAGAATTATATGACAATAAGCAGTAAATAAATTTCAGAGCAAACACGTGCAAAAATGTCACCAATTTCGAACGTACCGCCGAGAGGGTCCTTGTTCCATTGCCTCCTCCCAATGGATTCAGTCTAATTTTTACTTGCGATATTAGATGCACTTGTTGGCCGGTAGCACTTCCAATAGCAGACGTATCCGCCGAAATAGATGCTAAAGCTCTGGTCAAAACTAGATTGCGAAATTGAAATTATACTTATCCGTACGTCTACAATTGGTGTGTTCCTACATAGGTAGGAATAAATATATAATACATTAGCTTCGGTTTTCGTCTATTATCACTACAGACAGAGGTGCACAATCTGTAAACCGTATTTATCAACAGTTCACCAAATTATTGGGAATTAAACAAATACGAACGACCTCACACCACCTGTCAATGGAGTTGAAGATTGAACGATCAATTCTTGGTTGTTTGCTCAAAATCAACTTCCCCAATTTTCGCGGAGGAATCAATACGACAGTCATCGTCTCATCGGTCGCTGTTCAGAAAGAAGTCAGTAGCAAACCATCAGAAGTAATCTTGTGATTTATTATTGTAATATTTGTTCACAGACCTTAGTTGTAACATTGTTTATATGTTGGTGTAACAATAAAGAGTCCTCGAGTCAACAATTGTTGTTTTGGTTTTTTTCGTCCGTTATAACTAAGCGTTTCTGAGAAACTTCAAGGAACAGCGTGGGCCCGAGCGTAGCAAGAGCTGGGCATTAACGGTTTATGAGACGTGGCTGCCAGTTTCTGACGGTAGAAACAGATCTGGCGGATTCAAACAGTTGGTGAAGGTTTGGATAGTCGCCGTTCATTTTTCCTGGTGCCGGTCAAGTCCTCTTTGAACAAGCAATATCTGGAACGTTTTTGGAATTGGGTCAAGTTCAACAATGCCTGGGTCAAAGAAGGGACAGAGTGTCTTGGATGCAAACAGGAAAGTAAGTCATGGTGACTTGTCTGTTAATTGTAACGATGTGTCTGATGTTAAGCATGATATGGTTGATGTTACTGTTTCGCCGTCCAGGGATAATAGGAACATCAAACTCCCTAAGTTTGAACCACGGTGTTTTGATGGAAACCCGGCTGATTATTTACAATTTGTAAAGGAGTTTGAGATCATGCTGAGTGGTTCTTTATTAACTGATGAAATGAAATTGATGTATTTGATGAGGTATCGCACTGGAGACGCTGCAAGAGCTATACAGTGCTGTGAGCTCATGCCCCCTAAAGAGGGATACGCTGAGGCTATGAGCATATTACGTCAAAGGTTTGGAAGACCTTCAATGATTGTAAGGAACGTATACGAAGCTGTCAAAGGTAACGGCAGTCAACTTCAAGATGACTCCAAGGCACTTACTGAGTTTTTAGATAATCTTATGACTTATAAGAATACCTTGATTTCTATGAATTTCATTAGTGACCTCAACTCGAGCTCAGTCCTAGAGGTAATAGCAAGACGCCTACCTACTCGACTGCAAAGGAAGTGGGTGAAGATAAGCTCCCGTATGGAGGATGAGGGTATCGAGCCAAAGTTTGATGATATCCTGAAACTGGTAAAAGATAGCGTCAATCAATCTATGAGCAAGTTCGCCAGTCTATTACATCTCACCCCTAGAATAGAGCAGTCTGAGAGCAAAATGCAATCATTGATGACGAATAGGCCTCAGAGAGGTGGATATCGAGAAGGCTCCATGATGTATAGTAATGCATATAGACCTAGTGTGTGTAACAGGTTTCGTAGTACATCCTCAACAGATAAGTTACAAGATGCAAGACAAACACGGTTGTGTTTTACACGTTCGAAAGAGGTGCATACAGAGGTAAACTGTGAACCAGTGAGCAAGTTCAGTGATGAGCTAAATGTAAACTCCAGGCCTGACTCCGAATTGTGTGACGATAACAGTGCGGTGAAGAAGTCTGTAGTTGCAACTGGTAAGCCATTGTTGAATAGAGTGTCACAGAATAGAGTTGCTGCTTCAGAGTCCAGTTCTGACTCCACAAGTTTACAAGGTATTACTAGTCAGAGTGAAGATATACAACCTTTAATGATTTGTGAGGAGGAACCAAAATTGTCTACTTCTGTTATTAAAGAGTTTGAAATTAATGAAGTCGACGATGGTAAATTGAATATTTGTGATAATGATCATGATACTTCACATTTGTCTTTGGTTGATCATGATGAGATGAAGGATATGCCTACTACTGCTAAGTTGAACAAAGTTTTTGTACAACTTGAACGTGAAGTAGAAATAAATGCAGATGCAGTTGCAGAAGTTATGGATATTTGTGAGACCGTCAGTGTGAGTGAACAGCATGTAGCCCACCTATCATCAGATGCTAGTGCTAAACCTGAGCTGATAGTAAAAGACAGCAGTGGTGGTGGTCTTGCATGTAGACAAACTTCTGAAAGTCGAGCAACAACAGCTTTTGATCCACCGCGAACTTCATCAACTGATATCAATCAGTCGTCGTTGGTGCTGTCATCCACAATGAAAAAGACGCCCATCAACTCAAGTATCTTGTGCAATGACTATGCTAGTATCAGTTCGTTTGAAAGGACGAATATCAGTGGTCAGTTTAGTGAGGATAAGCTAAGTGTGTACGAGGGGCTAATTGTTAAATTGACTTGCACGAATAAAGGCATTTCTAGTTTCAAGTTACTATTTGAATGCTATTATCTTTGGTGTAAATTACTCTGTTTTTACACTTGGTTGATGAGATATGTCGTGTGTTTGTTGGTCATCTATATTCTACGATACAATGACATGGGCGTGTTGCCGTTCAGATTTGAGGATATAGCTGATAGAAGGAAGTTAGCAAATGAACTCTGTGACGATTTTCCAACCTAGAGCGTCAACCTGAGAAGAGTTGTAGGCGTACTGGTGTAAGTCCTGCGATTCTTCAAAGGGATTCCATCAAGACATGATCCGCGAATTTGTGTGTACAGTTTGTATATATGTGTGGTGTGTCATATCAATTGGTGTTATTGGGATTCATTGTGTTTACTTGTTGTTTTCGTATCTTGTTGTTATTGCGTAATTTTGTTAAAATTTTCGTCGTGATTACTTCTGAAGTTGTTTCGAGTCCTCTACATCCATGAATGAATTGATTGATGTTAAGGACAGCAGATGGGGCGTATACGCCGGGGAGGCTAGGCTATTGCTGAGAATGAAATGCATACGGAGATAATTGTTAGCTGCGGTCCCACACGCCGGGGAGAAAGAGTGTAAACGACTGAGGCTCGCATGCGTCACCGCTACTAGAACTGAGGGAGAATGAGTGACAAGCGATTCCAGTGGTAATTGGTAGTGAGTGGATAAGAGGATGTGCGTAGAGTATCATGAGTTGGTGCTATGGTCAGGTTGCATTCTGCAAGAGTCATTCTAGCAAGTGGCGATTGTGTTGCAAGATGTCAAGAGGAGATCTCTGTTTGGAGGCGCAGGTCGTCAGCGATGTGTGAGATTTTGCTGTGAGTATGCTTGTGGTGTGTTGGCTTTTCTGTTTGTTTTCCATTTCAGCTCTGTACGTGTGACCCAGGTTCTCGCAATGGCATCCAAGTCAACGTGTATTGGTCGTGAAGGAAAAAAGGGTTGGATCCCTTTTTTGCCGGGGAGTGTCAATGGAGTTGAAGATTGAACGATCAATTCTTGGTTGTTTGCTCAAAATCAACTTCCCCAATTTTCGCGGAGGAATCAATACGACAGTCATCGTCTCATCGGTCGCTGTTCAGAAAGAAGTCAGTAGCAAACCATCAGAAGTAATCTTGTGATTTATTATTGTAATATTTGTTCACAGACCCTTAGTTCAAATATTATTTTTATATGTTGGTGTAACAATAAAGAATTCTCAAGCGGCCAATCGGTGTTTTGGTTTTTTTCGTCCGTTATAACTAAGCGTTTCTGAGAAACTTCAAGGAACAGCGTGGGCCCGAGCGTAGCAAGAGCTGGGCATTAACGGTTTATGAGACGTGGCTGACACCACCCTATTTCAAATGGGTGAGTCTCTGATGAAAAAAGAAAAAGGCCCACCAAACTCCCACTGGTACATTTTGGCATACGAGGAACTCTAAAGAAAAATATTGGGTTAGTCTTTGGAACAACACTGAGTTACGAGGAGAGTTTTTCATCTCAGATTACCAAGTTTCAAGTGACGTGACTGGTCACATGCATCTGCTAAAACCACATATGGGTGAGCTGAAAATGTCACTTCCACTCCAGCAGCAACGGATATTATGCATTCCGCTACCAGTGACAACCTGCAATCACATTCTCATCAGGAGGGATGGTATACAGCGACCATTCCAACCTGCTTACGGTGGTCCATTTAGAGTTCTACATAGGAATAACAAAGCTATTGCGTAGAGCGGCCGAATAAAGCAGAAGCCATAGGCATCTCCAGAGTCAAATCAGCGTTTATCGACGACTTTCAATACAATGATATAGATCAACTGAAAGACGTATCAACACACAATGATAAGTTTTGTTATTGGTAATATTTCGAGCAAAATTACCAATAACAAGACATATCATTGTGTGTAAACTATTGAAATATAATTATACTCTATTTGATCTAATCCACAATGCTCAAACTTTTTGCTGATATTAACGTATCAACACCTTCAGTCACTAGAACTATTACGTCAAAAGAAAAACCTTTAGAAACAACGCGATCACGTAGGATAGTTCACTGGTCTAAACGTTATGTTTAGACTATCACTATTTAAGCTTTTGTATATTTTCTTCTTTATTGTCTTTATTCAAAACAACATCAAACTGCTCATTGACGTAATCGTCATATTCACACACAGTTCACACTTCTGTTGTTCAAACATTGACGATATTTTTTGCACAATTATACTTAATCGTGCAGTGTTTACTATTTACATATCGCTTTCGCCTAAAGTCTACGAATCCCAGGCTGATTTTAATCATTCCCCATATTTTATATTATAATTGTCGGTCAGTCATTCTTAGTGCACTTACTACTGATATTATTAATTGTCAATCCGTTTTTTTCAAAAGTTTTGTATTAATTTGGGTATTTTCC